TGACATTTCACCTAAGGGAGTTGGCTAAAAACCCTGATTACAAACAAACCAAGAAGAAGCGTACGAACTATACACACACACCTTGGACATTTAAGTCCATTCGAATAGTGTATGATCTGCTGAATAGGGAACCGACCACCCCCCCCCCACACACACACAAGGATTGCGTTTTTCACACACCGCCCTGCTATCCTGCGGTTGAGACTTTAGCTAATCAAACGGTCCGGTTGTGAATACCCCAAGAAAATTAACCTGCTTTGGGCTGGACTACCTGGCAGTATTCAGCCGACAAACGATTCCTGGAACACTTTTCTTGCGTTTATAAAGATTATTGCAACATGATTTGTTTGGCACACGGTCTGGATTCAGACTCGTGTGAAATATAAGACAAGACAAGACAAGCGCTGATTTCAGATGGGAATTCAAATATCACGAAAGACACCTTAACAATCTAATTTTCCAAAAGCTCTCATGTGAGAACTAGGCTCAAAGACAGATTCAAATTGGCTAACAGTAGCATGGCTCGTCGTCAATCACGCGTTTCTGTATGTAACACTATCAGCTGACTAGAGAGGTTTATCAAGTCATTTCATCTTTTGCATGAGCAGAAACATTACAACGGAAACCATACATGAATGTTTTAATGGTGAAATGTACACACTGCAGTTCATTGCCACATTCCACGCATTGTTTTCAGGGCCTAGGATACCGAGGGCATAAATTCCACTAACCAAAAGGTAATGAAAAGTGGCATGCGCAGTTTGCATGTGCTGGCAATTCCGATCACATTGCAAGCATACAATCATCAGTCAGCTGACGTGACGGTTCCACTGAAATCGAGAACCGAGTCACGTGAGAGAGAGAGAGAGAGAAAAATATCAAAAACAAGTGATGACCGATAAAACTTATTTTTCATGCTAATCACTTCTAGAGGAGTGATGGACGATCTGATGGAATTTCCTGTTTCAATACTCCGAAACAATGAGAGCACAACTAAAGAAACAACATGTATTGAATGGATGTAGGTCACGTTATTTGGGGTACGGGGTGGGGAATAAATGTGTGCGAGGGGAACTTACCAGTGCATCCAACCCCGGTGCTTGTTGTCGATGTATGCTGAGCACCTCGGAGAAGTCCGGGTGTCGTGTGTTCACATAGGCTAACTCGATAGCGACTAAATTGGTCACCATCTGATTGGTCGGTTGTAATCGTTGCCGTAACACGGAAGTGACCACATCCACAATACGTTCATGCAGTTTGGGAAAACGGAGCAATTCTTGCTAAAATCACAGAGCCGGAAATGGATATGGCATTAGCGAAGATAAAAGACACATGGAGGGAAAAAGGTAAAGATGAAATTTCTCGCACATGAAGGCGAAGTATCATGAATAGTTCATAGCACCTCCGACTAAGGAGTTTGACAGAGTGATAATTTAGAAATCCAGAACGAGGTAAGATCGTTGGTTGATTGAACTTTGTCGCATGAGTCTTGCTAATGGTTTGTCACTGGTACACTGTTTCCCGTTTTTATATATCACGATACGTGTTTGATGCACATCTGGAAAACATACAACACAGTCTCGGTTTTAGTTGATGTATCTATGCGTCTTGCACTGTCTTAAGCTAGTTTAAATTGCTATCCTTTGATTAGCCACATAGTAGATACATGAAAAAGCAGAAAGAAGGGAAAGATCGGAAATTCGACGAACAGAGGACTTTTCAATGTAAACGGAGAACTAGATCGATCGATGTGGTGGCGACAAAAGTCAAACTGATTTTAGTTTTAGTATTTGTTTGATTTGCCTTGCATACACTATTAAATCGGTCTATCCTCTCGATTGAAATAAAGTGATCGAAGTCAAGAAAGACATGCTCGGTTCATGGGGAATTATGATCTTTCCTAGGTGAATTGAATCATGGTCACAATTCGGACAATTTCAGAATGTACGTTTGTAGGCGAACAGCGGATTTCGGAGGAACCGATTCATCCTGAAGGTTTCGATTATGTCAGCTATTGTTCTCACAGTTTTTGAGGAACATGCGCGACGAACAGTGTCAGTCATGACAATAAAAGATTAAAAAAAAACAGACCATCGGTGTTCGAAAAACACTGTCTACATAGTGTTGCTAGAGTCCAATCAATCAGTTGAAAAACAATGTGTAGTTTGGGCGATCAGTTTTCGGAGGCCGTGATCGCCCACCGAAATCAAAGCTTGATCTTTGTAGATTGATATGACTGCGGAGCGTGTGTTAAGCAGATCATCCGATAGTCACCCTCGATGGGTTATATTCACCGAGGCAGGTAGTGGGTGAAAGAAGGTCTAGAGTGGTCAGAATAGGATCTAGAATCAGGGTGTGTAAGACCCTGTGACAAGAGCGCTCGGTCACATAAGTCACATTAGNGTACTGTACACAGGCCTCGTGACCAATCCAATCAATGCACAGTAGACAGACTGAATTTTACGGTTGAGCGTTGCAAACAGTCACGGTCGTGCATCTAACCCCGCTCCACGCAGATCCGGTTCAATCGTTTCCTGTGTGTTTGTTTCGATCGTGTCTCACGATGATTCCACGATAATGGCTCAGCAAAACTAAGCCGGAACTAAACCCGTGCGGCTCTGCGTAACGAACACGGACCTCGTGACAAGAAGAGCGAAAAACAATGATCATTCGGTTTACCAAAAATATATGCACCGACGATGGATTGTAGTGGTTTGTTTACAACCCCACTTGAAATACTCTGTCCTACAACCCTAAGGGTAAATGAAAGAATGAATAGCACTATTCAAAAGCGACCACAGTTTCACAGGTCGATGTGGACGACAAATCACCTTCCTTATTTCAGTGTGACGGGAAGTGAGAAGTAATTCTGAATGCAAGAGACGCATCGATAACAGCATTCATATGTTGAAAAAAAAAATTAGATTGACGTCAACCTAATTGGTAGAGAAAAAAACGTCGACCATGAGCCAAATTTGTGGTCTCGCACATTGCAAAATTTACGTGAAAAGAGATTTAACTACCGGAAAATACAGCTTGATATACTGTGATTATCTACATACTGTTCGAGACATTACGTCAATAAAGACTTGTACTCATGTGGAACTGATGACCCAACGATAGTTCGTTTGAAACAAACAGGCTATCGGTTTAATAGCGGAAAACTTTATCTGTCTTGCAACAGAAAAACCCTCGTGGTTATTTATCAAGCGAGTAGAATGCGGTTCGCTGTGAATAGTATGTGTGTGTGTGTGTTAGATATTGATTCATACGTTACCTAACCGTGCCCCAGCGATTGTGGAGTTTCTAAGAATGCACACAAAAAAACGAAATGGAAAGCGTGTAGAGATAAAAACGGCGGAAAACAAAAATGGAGTACCGCCGAATCGAGGAAAATCACCACTACCTTTACCTTCTACTAGCTCAGCGCAAACCGTGATACAGTGATACAGTAGATTGACCCGAATGATCATATCATTGATATTCTGTCTGGATGCGCTATTTACCGTGAAGGAAAGGATCTCCTGTACTCGGAGTATTATTGACGAGTGAAATTACAACTGTGATCTGGCGTGGATGGACAGGCAGAACTGAAATGCGTTTACTGGTTGGTCGAGTCCACTGGGATTCAAAATCGGCCCTAATCCTAAACGGAAAGCAATTTTCCAAGGTCGAATTGATATCGATTTAGACCTGGAGCAAGCACGACATGTGATAAATCGTGCAGATGAGGCTTGCCACTTGGACAATCGGTTATCCCACCGATTTGCCAAGCATCCACATTTGTGAGCTCATTAGAAAACCAACAATTGTTTGCTTGAACACAGAAGCTTCAATCTAAGCAGTGATAGTTTGGACAGGGTAATGACATGAGCGAGTTTGGACAGCAGTAGGAACATTAGAGAATCGCAGAACACAAGTACAGACAACGACTGTCAATCTGTATGAAGGTAATTGTACCAACTGATCTGAAACGTTGATTTAAACATGTTGATAACTCAGAGGTTGAGGACTCGAATAGGTTATTATATGTCCCATTTTGTTGCTTTGTGGACGCGGTCTATTGAGATGACTGATCGTCTCATCCCAGGAGTGTGAAGTATGCTAGGTGGCATGGATCACAGTAAAATTCCCACACAAAGTGAATATTATCATTATTATCATTCGTCCGATGAAAAATCGATCGGTAAAAATGAACGAAAAATGGCACAACCCTGAACTCTTTTCGATCGTCAATCTGTTACATCGAAGTATGATCAATCGATGTAGCTGTACTGGTTAAACCAGTTTACTGCGCTTGCTTCATTCACAAAACGCACAGGTTTAGAGCGGAGTGTGTGTTATCTTCTGCATTTCAATTTAGACAGTCGTTAACCTTGCACGACAGTACTCTAGGAGTGGATGTTGTTCGCAACAGTTCACAATGACAATGATGTCAGTACGAACATCAAGCTGGCAGCTCTTAGTCATAAATAAGGTCATTATGCACATGCTACTTCGATAAGTTTAAGAATCTCCCACAATCCAGAGACGTCTTACATCAAGAGCTCAGTACTTTGGACTGAATTTGAAACAAATAGTTATCTCCTCTGTGAGAATCAACCCGAGTAGCGAATGCGATAGGGCTGGTACCAAAGATTGGACCACGTGAAACGCCGATGTGACTCAGACGATCACTATCATCTTCCACGAAAAAACACAAGAAATCGAATCGTGCTCACCTGAGCTCCACAATGTTGTATAATCCGTTGCATTTCTTCGTGCACAAGCTCCACACAACGCAAACTGGGCTCCTCGAGACGACGAATTTGTCGTTTCACCAACAGCTCGAACGAGACCTCGGGCACGAACAGTGCCGGTCGTGGTCCGGTCGCATTCCGAATTGCCGTGAGGATATCCAGAGTAGACAAACCACCCAGCGGGTCAATTTTGCTCAGCGTCCGATAGAATGTCTCGTGAAAAATGTAGCAAATCCGAGCACCACCGCATAGTTCGGTCGTTTCGATATCTTTGGCCACGCCATCGATTGTGTTGCAATAGGCTGTGTTAAACTTTGTGATAATCTGGAGCAGCAGTTGTCCCTGTAACAGACCGACGTGATGCAGGACAAAACGGACGGAAGCCCGAGTGCGCGGGAGGGGGTGAAGTAGAGTAAACAAGTGGAGCAAAATTATTTAAATCCTGTCCGCTTTTGTGTTGGCAAGAGCAACATTATAACACTTTGTTCCATTAAGTCTAAATAGATCAAATGAGCGAAACGTACCTTATCTTCCACTTCATCACCGAAAGTGTTCAAAAGATTTTGGAATTGTGCGGCCATCACGTTCACACGAGTCTTCAACTCCGGCAAACAATCCCGAATGTGATGCATGAGTAACTGGAGACAAACAAAAATGTAACGTCAGGTGCGTGGTGGCGAAATTGTGCAATGGGTTATATTAGAAATGAGGGATCTAGTATCGACCTACGATCGCGTTCAACAAAAATCAAACTACATAGATGACGGCTTAATGGGAAACCTGTTCCGAAAATGCGAACGTCTGCTCGAGTTGAATCAAAGAGAAACCGGATTTTTAAAAATGGATATTCCGAGATCAAAAACGATAATGAATGTGATGACCCCCTGTAGGCGATAAACTGAGCAGCAAATACGATAGGCGGAATACTGAAGAAAACAAAGATTTTGTATTATAGACGCCCTGGTACCGAAAGGCATGCCGTAGAGCAGTAAACTCTGTGTTCGGAGCTCGAATAGATAGCTGCTTGATATGAAGGACAACGGGGTTGTCAATCGCTAAAAGGAAACTAGTAGATATTTTAGCAATCGAAAAAGAATCGATTAATGCAAGATTACCACTCTCGAATTAGTAACCAGTTTTAACGTACAAGAAAAAACCACCCGGGGCATTGACTAATACTGGTAGCGCAAAAAAAGAATGAGTTGTCCGGAAAATAGTACATCGTTCAACAAAAGACAAAACTGCTCATAAATGACCTTTATGAATAAGGCCAGCATTTGTACCGGATTACTGACAATCAATGAAAGAGTAATGAAAAAGAGAGGCTCCGTATAAACACTGTGAAACCCCATCACTATATGGATAAAACAATATGCAAGCTACTGTCATTCTATACTTTGGAACAGCCAAACAGAAATGCGAACTAGCTTGAGGAAAATGAACTCGAGGCTGACAGATTCAACTACATAGGCAGTAGCAGTAAACACAAAGAGGAAACTGTCGATGTTGAAAGACTAAATTCCGAGTTTAGTCCAGTTTCACAGTACGCTGCTTTGACAGACTTAGTCAGCACTACGCCAACACCAACTATCGAACCTGCCACGGTCCTTCGACAGCTGATGAAAACAAAGATAAATAAAGCATTTGGTCTGGATCAACTAACACCTTTGGTACTCAAGAGGTGTGCGGACACTTTTTCAGTCCCATTGTCGAAAATATTCAATGACTGCGGAAAAATTCCTGATATTTGGAGACTGGCCAAGATAACTCCTGTTCCTAAGAAGGAACCTGGGAAATATCGTCCCATCGCCTGCACGTCAGTCACGATCAAATTATCTGAGAGATGCTTGTTACCATGGTTTATCACTGAGTCCACGGAAGACGGCATGCATCAATTTGCATATCGTTCCTCGCGCTCCACACTTGATGCCATTGCATATCTTGTTAATTGAATAATTTCAGCACTAGATAAGAAAAGTAAGACCGTGTTCTTAGACTAAAGAAACGCTTTGGGTAGTCTTGATCGATCGGTACTGCCTAACCTCAGTGGTGTTAATTCAAACGTTAGCAGATTGATCCGCGATTATTCCGTAAATAGAAGGCAGTTTACATGCCTCAACGGAAAAAAATTTTCAACAAGCCCAGTTGCATCTGGTGTTCTGCAAGGTGCAATATTTTCCCCACTTTTCCTGTCACTGTATGGCAAACAATTTCCCATTCTTCTTGCATTCATTGGCTGTAAATACGTTGTTTTAGGTTGCAAAGCATCTACCCCTGAAGAAGCTTCCGAAATTCAAAGCAAGCTAAACGACGTTGTTACTTGGTCCTTGTCCCGTTCAATCTCCCTGAATGCCTATAAATGTCAGGATGTTGTGTTTTCCCTTTTGGTCGATGTCCCAAATTCAGCAGTCACAGATAGGTTCCCCACCCTCTCTGCAAAATCAAAAATCCAAACCGAAATCAAAAACAGTAAAATACCTTGGCGTCACCCTATCACATAATTTATCATGGTCACTGCATGTTCGAAACACAGTTTGCAAAGTTAAAAAGCTCTCATATTTCTCACTCAGATTGAGATTACTCTCTGTTCTCCATAAGCTGATTGTTAGGTTTGTGAATGTATGCGTGCTACTCCACTGGTTGTATTCCTCCTCAGTGATTTTTCCCAGTATGTTGAAGAAAGACTTTTATTCGCTGGCGAGATCTCTGAAACACATCTCTAAATGTAACGGTATTGTCAGCAATGAACTCGCAGATCCTATCATAGACAGACACCCACAAGCATATGAAAATTTCACTGCCAAAATACTCTCAGACACTCGGCACACATTACACAACAAATTTTCAAAGGCTGTATCTAAATCATCCACACTCTCAAGTTTTAAATTTTTATTTGCTCGTACCTGTGCTTATCGTAATTCTGTTCTGCAATATCTAGCAGGTCTACTTATAGACAAGGACAAGATTTCTGCAGAATTGCGCAACCGCTTGCTTCATTGACAAACACTGCTTCCAGTTCCATTATGTAAAACTTCAATCCATAAATATGGTGTCTATGCTGAAAATCCACACATCCGGGTGCATAAAGCTACTACTGACTGACTGACTGATATGTCGGAGTGAATACGGTATCTAGGATGTGAACCCTGTCCCCAAAACAGTAGGTGCTTATCTTCAATGAACTAAAAGCTCTAAGCTCCGCCGGAAGATTTCGCAGTTCACATATTCTCATAGTAGATTCGGACAAAAATCTAATCCATAACGGACGGTAAACGACAAAAAAATTAAAATTTTTTACTGACTGCAGTTAGAATAACGGTTTTCAAGAGCGGTTTCTCTCACGAGACGCTTTTCTTTAGTCTGTTCAGTAGCACCACGAAGCCACTCCGGTTATCACGCGGTAAACCGAAACAAACGGTTCTAATTTAGACGGTGAACGCTTGGATCAGTCCATTCGATTTTCACAGGCAACAGGCACTGTCGCTGATGTTCGGTGTGGGTCTCACTCCTTGAGAGATCGTTAATACCCCACTATTTGAATGCAGCTAATCCAAACATTCGACATTCACACAAGGTGATGGCCCTAGACCGTGCAGTTAGGGGTAAACGTTTGAAGTTCCAAACCGAAGGTTCGCAGTACCAGTCTTACCAGAGACAGAAAAAGTTACGCGCCGCTGATAATCCTCAAACAGAACAAAATAGCTGTCCATTGCTCTTTATCGTATCCAAACCAAGCCTAACGAAGCCTAGTCAGCTGGAATCGATCAGATAGCGGGTTCTTGTCTGATGTGTTCCCAAACACTTGACGACTTACTTCTAAGTTACTAACCCGCTCACTCTATCCCACTTGGGCCAGACAGCGTAAGCATCGATTGTCGAACACTGCTAAACGACGGATGTCTTCTACCCGCAAGTTCAAGGTCTCACAACCGTAAACCAGAACTGATCGTACAGTGGTGCAGTATACGCGACTTTTCAACTTCAGTGAAACGTCACGTCGCCGCCACAGGTGTTTCAGTCCTGCGTATGCTGCTAGAGTCTTAGAAATGCGGGCGGTTATCTCCTTCGCTGCACTACCGTTGTTGGTCACGCAGCTACCCAAGTACAAGAAACAGTCAGCTACAGCTAATCCCTGATTGTCTAGTTTCAAAACAAAACTAGGTGACACCCAGTCTTGTAGCATCACTTTGCACTTTGAAGGTGCAAAGCACGAACCGAACGGAGCGACAGAACTTGATAATCTGTCAAGTGCTCTCTGCGCATCCTCCATAGATTCGAACAAGCAATCGATGTCGTCAGCGTACTCCAAATAGCACAGCTTTTCCCCAGCTGCCCAGTCAATACCTGCATTTCGGAGACTACTAAGTGTGTTCTCCAGCATTTCGTCCATGACGAAATTGAACAGGAATGGTGAAAGAGGGCATCCTCGACGAACGACGCTGCTAATTACGAACGAGCTACTCAGCTCGCCGTAGACCCTTACGCTACCAAAATTATGCGAGTAGAGTGAATTCAATATGTTCATATACTTCTGCGGCATTCCTTTGCGAGGGAGCGAACCCAGAAGGGATTCGCGGTCAACTGAGTCGAAGGATCCTTTTAAGTCAAGGAACAAAAGACAACCATTGGTCGACGATGCGTATGGCGTAGCTCAAGGACTTGACGCAGGGTGAAGATTTGATCGATATGATCGCAACCTGGTCCAAATCCTGCTTGTTATTCGCGGATGTTTGCGGCCCTAAACGGTATCAGACGTCGAAGTATAATGAGGGTTGGTAAGTTGGTGACGATTGGGATCAAACTTATTCCACGGTTGTTTGCGCAGAAATGGAGAGATTCCTTCTTAAAAGTTGGAACGATCAGTG